GATTTTTATTCAAATTGATAATATGAGAAATCATAACTCGATAGAATACTCTCCCCACTTTTATATTATATTTCCATAGTTTTGACAATTCGATGAGGGGTCCTTTTTTATCTCTCTATGGTCGTGTCTATAGAAGCATAGAAGGAGAATTGACTGAGCCATATGGATTTTATTTTGAAATTGTGTAGTGCCAAAAGAATCCTCACGAAGGTAAGACAACACGACTTTATGTTTATATTACCATTGAATTATATTTGTTAAGTTATATAAATTGATTATTTTAATTGATAAATATCTATACACAAATCGCCAATTTTTTCCAACAGAATACTCCTTTTACAGTAAATTTTAAGGCCAACTTCTACTAGTATAAAATGTCATTTCATGGTGAATTCTTCATATATTACTTCTTTTTCACAAATCTATCGATCTTGTGAACGTTTCTATGGTACTCTTGTGTCTACATGGGCAATGTGCAAGACAAAAGTGCTGCAATTATCATGGTTTCGCTATACTATTATGGTGGTTATAAGGGTCCCGTGTCATTGATCACTCCAGTTGATAATGATCATGATGGTGCTATAAAGAAGAGACCAAAATTTCCAGGTTGTTATCAGAAGTTGAAATTGTCAGTATGAAAGGGTAAAAATGCAATTGATTTTAATACCTCTGGCCCATGGGAGAGACCAATCATGACCTGCAAACCTGTTCTTCTGTATATGCTGGGAAAGAAAATATTAATTGAGTTCAACCATTTCTGAATTTTTGGGCTTTAAGATGGATGGAGACTGCAAGGACCATTCCAGCATCCCATCATGTAATCTTATAATATCTGAACTTTTGTGTGGGGGGCTTTTCTATCTATATCTCTTTTTTAATTTTCTTTATTTTATTAGGGGAGGTGGCCGGGCGGTTATCGATTTGGTTGTCGCTATTGACTGACCTCTAGTTGAAAAAGGGAAATGATTTTATTTACACCCGAAAATAGTGATTTGCTCGTACAATTAAGGATGGAGGTAGATTTTACTCAAATAAGTTTAGGAGTTGTTTATAATCGTTTTAAATTATAAATGGAAAGAGATTAATGATAAATAAGTAGGTAGTATTGTGAACCTTACAAAAGTAGATAATAAGTGATTTTATCAATCATAAACAAATTATAGACGGGTCCAAAGGCATTCATCCCATTACTCAAAAATGTTTCTCCTTAATAATTAAGAATGTGTTTGATTGATATGGAAAAAAATATTATCCTAAAAGACAAGAAAAACTAGACATATTTTCAAGTTTTCAAAAATATTTTCCACTTAAAAAAAAATGACAATCAAACACTCCAAAAGTTAAAATACGAGTGGAAAAATATCATTCTCCATGAAAATTTTTAAATTAAACGCATATTAAATTCTATTGATTGTTCAAAACAATTTAACAACTTGCACTTATCACAAAAATAATTATGTCAATTAAAAATCTTGGAAGTTTTTCCAAGAAACTTAGCTCCCGTTTGACCACCAAACTTTTAAAACTTATATTCATTTTCAATCATACATTTACACAATAAAATATTCTGTCGTAAATTCAAAAAAATTTTCACATTTTTTTAACCGCATGTTCTCATAAAAATCACTATTTGAAACTCTACTTCCCCAAAAGTATGATTGTCCACAAAAGATCGACATTTTTTCATGTTGTTATTCGGGCTTCACCTATTGCCTGATTTTGCAAGTGCAATTCATTTTGGGCCTGTTTTGTTTAATTGGGATTGCTTTAGGTGGGCTTATCAGCTGGACTGACAAGTAAAATAGGTGAGCTAAAAATTCTGGGATAGTGTCAAAACTACCTTACTTTTTTCTCCAAAAAGCTTAAAAATAATCCCTTGTACGATGTTTCCAAAAATAACTCATTTTTCCAATATTTTTTTTACAAATTACATGTCATGGTAACACATATGTTACTACTTTGCTTAGAAAGTATCATTAAAATATTTTAATTTTTAATTAAAAGTAATATTTTTGGAGTTATTGTAAATTTTGGGGTAACAAATTGGTGCCTTCCACCAGTTACTTCAATTTAGTAACCTTTCGAACATGTACTCTTAAGGTTATAAGTATTAAAAATATACATCTTTCAAAACCAACTAAAAAAATTATTACAAAATTTAGAGCAAAAAATTTTACCATTATTTTCGTCTTTTCACTCAATTGGACAAGATTTCAATCTTGTTTTTAGCCATTTAAAACTTGGGAAAATTGCAGTCGAGGTACCAAACTTTTTATTTATTAGCAGACTTTGCCCAAACCTTTAGTTTGTACCACTCACGATATCAAACCTTTCACAAATATGCACCCGAAGTCTAAATGGATGGAAACCGTTAGTAAATCCGTCAGTTGACCTAAAGTCAACATTTTGACTAAATTTTGACTACATTTTAAAGGGTAAAGATGTAAAATTATATTTTCTATAAATAAAATTAAAATAAAAAACCTAAAAACAAATTACCCTTCATCTTCTTCACAGGCCCTACACCCCCACCCTCTCACCCCAAAGAAAAAAAAAAACAGAACCAACAAATGGAACCGTCACTACCAAATGAAGCCAGTGACAAAATCGAGATTAAAGAGGCAATAAGATTGTCAGTTACAATTGTTCTACAAAAATCGTCTTTTCGCTTACTGATCTTATTTTTCTCAACAATTCTTGCAGTGTCTGCTAACAGATTTCTCTTAAAAACACACACACAAGGTACCAAACTCTGTGTATTCAATGGAATATTTTTCAGATAAACTATTATCAGCTAGAAAAAAAATCTAAAATTCATTTATCTACTTTGACAAGATCAAGTGCATCAGATGAAGGAGAATAGGTAGAATCGCCAAAGCAATTGAATGAGTCAAGTTCCTCCTCGGAGCTGTCCGTGTAGTTTTTATTAAAGCAATTGCATCTGTTACGGCTACACCTGTGGGGTTTCTCGTTGTTATCCTCAATGAAATTCTAAACCATTTTCGCAAGGCAAACAGAGCTCAGATCAAATTCTTCAGGACCATCTTTGTTACAGTGATGAGGCTCTTCAGCGCCTCCGTTGCCGGCCACCTTTTCCTACGTTGATATTCTTAGAACGCTAGGAAATTGCCTCTCGAAAAGCCTCTTAAATCTCGATTTTGTCACTGGCTTCATTTGGCAGTGACGGTTCCATTTGTTGGTTTTGGTGTTTTTTCTTCCTTCTTTGGGGTGAGAGGGTGGGGGGTGTAGGGTCTGTGAAGAAGATGAAGGGTAATTTGTTTTTGAGTTTTTTATTTTAATTGTTTTTTTATAGAAAATATACTGTTAGATTTTTACCCTTTAAAATGTAGTCAAAATTTAGTCAAAATGCTGACTTTAGGTCAACTAACTAACTAACTGTTTCCATCCATTTAGACTTTGGGTGTGAATTTTTGAAAGGTTTGGTATCGTGGTTGATACAAACTAAAGATTTGGGCAAAATCTGCTAATAAACGAAATGTTTGGTACCTCGACTGCAATTTTCCCTTCAAACTTTATGAACTTTGAGGTATAAACTTTGCAATCCCAACCAAATATAATTGTGTATTGTGATATATTTCAAAAGATTATTATAGAACAAAATATTCGTAAAAGTTATACTTTTCTTGATCTCAAAATTGAGAAAACCAAAGAGAAATTCATATAAGTACAAAATTGAAATAGATCGGCACACGAAGCATCGCTCGCTGAAAATAGAACGATTCAAAAGTTAAATTAAAAAATACTTAGGGGACATAAGATTGATAATAAGTAAAAATAAGGATCTTTAATTACAGAAAATTTTGGCTCTTGCTCGAGCCCCAATTTTTAAGTGAATTAATGCATTTTTAAATAGTGATTGATGGAGAATGTGAAGAAACTTTTTTAGTTTACATGTAATATTTTTTTATGGAAAAATGTATAGTTGAAAATGAGTTTTGAAAAAAATGAATTTTTGGAAGAATGAGGTTCAAACATGGGCTTAGTGTGAATAAAATTTTCATAATATCCCTGTTGTTTAGGGTTCCTTTGGAATTGGTACCTATCATTTCAATTCAATTATTATTAAACTCATTTGAACATTGCAAAAGCTACTAGAAAAAGTTTTTGAAAAGTCAAAAATAACTTTTAAAACTTAGAGCTTGTTTGGGAGGGATTTTTCACCCCTAAAAAATTGATTTTTTTGACTGTTATTTCACTATTTCAATCGTAAAGTTTAACTTTTTCTCTCACAAGTGGCTCCCACTTTTTTCCTAACTATCACAAAATCAATTCTCAAAATCATTCTCAAACAGAGCCATAGTTTAAACTTGGGTTGATTTTTTTTAGGAAAATTTTGTCTGGCTATAATAATTTTTAGAGGAAACTATTCTAAGAACCCATTTTACAGGGCTTTTACTTCTATTGTCTGTAGAAAAGTTTTTTAGAAAATCAACTTATACCAATTTCTTTTAAAAATTCTTCTAATAAGACAAAATGTTTTAACAAATTATTCAAATATGTGAAATGCAGCTTCTTATTCTATGAAAATTAGGAACTCTATCAAATGTTACTAAATCCACTTATTTCACTGTTAAAAAATAAATATTTTAACCGAAAATACAATAACGCTATTTTTTTTATTTAATTGAATTTAATCGTCTTGTCTTTTGATAAATTAGGAACTCTATCAAATGTTACTAAATCCACTTATTTCACTGTTAAAAAATAAATATTTTAACCGAAAATACAATAACGCTATTTTTTTTTATTTAATTGAATTTAATCGTCTTGTCTTTTGATTCTTTTATGTTAAATATTACCGTTTTAATGATCAAATAGAATTTGGATGGAGAGCATGGTTTTCACATTAATACAATGAAATGGGGTTAATAATGCCTAGATTGAAACTATAGGTACCAATTCGAATGGGACCCTAAAGGATAGGGGTATTTCGCAAATTAGTTTATATAAACCTTTCTAACCCTAGTCTCTCCAGAGCCCTGTTCCCAATCTCTGTATTTCTTGAATTGTACCCTCTCTTCTGAACCCTTCCCTACCAGTTCAATCAGAATGGAAATTGCAGATAATATAACCGATAAGAATAACAGTAACAATGGCGGAGAAACGGAGGAGAATACTCGGACTAAGCACAAAGGAAAGCACAAAAAGGACAAGCCATGGGATAACGAAAACATCGACCATTGGAAAATCGAGAAATTCGATCCTTCGTGGAACGAAAGTGGCATGCTCGAAGTCAGCTCCTTCTCTACTCTCTTCCCTCAATATCGAGGTTGCATACAGTTTCTCGATTTTATTTCAGTGTTTTTAGTAATTTTAATTTCTTCTAGAATTTATTTAATTTATAGCTTGTTTTTTCCGGAGTTCTATATCTGTTTACAGTTTTGTAATGCTAGGTCGGAGTTCTATGGGGGTGGGGGTTATTATTGTTTTACGGGCAATGTTAAATGCACAATCCTGGCAGTATGTAGCAATTGTATCCTGATGTTGAGTGACCTTAGCAAAAATTTTGTTAGAATGTAACAGAGGTGCTTTTAATGACTTCAGTAATACTCTTGTTTGAATGTTGGTTAGGTGGTCTTTGAATACGAGAATGCACAATCCTGCTGCTTGGAATTTTATTTTATTTTTTTTTTTTTTTTGAGGTGTATTAACGATTGGAGTTGGGGGTTACTAAATTCTTCAAGAATACTCGTGATCACAAAATTTTACGATTAAATATTTATATATGGAAGTTTTGGTCTTGCTCTTCACGCTAAACTCGTATTAACAGAATAAGATATTATAGAAAAAATCCTGGAGAGTGTAGCTTTTATCAAAATGCTTATCTTTGGGCCTTGACCATCTTATTCTCACTTAGCTTTCATGCATTTTTCTTACATATGTTTTTCGTTAGGCATGGAGCTATAACTAAAGATAAAAAGGAATTTGTTTTCATTTTTAAAAGAGGTAGTGAGGTTGGCTTCTTATCAATAAAAATTAATCAGGTTCTTAATCTTTTGAACCTGTCTTGGTATTTGCAGAAAAATACTTGCAAGAGTGTTGGCCGATTGTTAAAGGTGCATTAAAAGAACATGGAATTGCTTGTGAATTAAATTTAGTAAGTATTTCCATATTCCTCTCATCAATATGACTGCTGATAACTGTTAAGGTTTTTGCACGGGAATCTGTAATGCTGAAAATGGACATATGGCTGTCTAAAATGGATTTTTAATGCTATTAAACTAGTTGAAGCCAAAACAAGAAATATAAGGTGGTTCCACTTTTTCCCGACGTCTGAAATCTTAGTCATTCATTTCTGTGCTTTGATAATGTACTATGTCATGGTTTTGTTTTAGGTTGAAGGATCCATGTCCGTTTCAACTACTAGGAAGACTAGGGATCCCTTTATTATAATTAAAGCAAGGGATCTCATCAAACTTCTGTCAAGAAGTGTCCCTGCACCTCAGGTTACATATCTTTCCACGCTCTCCTCTTCAATTATTTACCAAGTTGCCTCTCCTTTTAAGGATTTATTCGCAAAAAATAAAAATAAAAAAATAATGATAATAAAATAAAAATGCAGAGAAATACTATTCTGATATATCATCCATGTGAATTTCTATTTGCCTATGTCCCAATCATTGAATGATTCAAATCTAAAGTTTCTTGCCTTTTCAAATGATTATTTATTTGTGCTTCTATTTTACATTTCCTTGGCTAGATTGAAGTGCATTAAATAAACATGACATTCATACAGCCGTGAGATTTTTGGAATTATGTCACTCTTGATATTCTTTGGATATCTTTAATTCTCAGTTTGAAGTCTGTAAAAACTTCAATCAATATTGAGTATCTCAAGTCAATGTGATCTCATAGGCTATAAAGATCCTAAATGATGAGATCCAGTGCGACATCATTAAGATTGGCAACTTGGTGCGCAACAAGGTACGTTTTTTCCACACATATTATATAGAGAAGGGAGGGGGGAAATGATCCACTAAGCGCTGTTGCTTGTATACTAAACAACAGTGACATGATACTTTAATGCAACAATTCTAACCTAATTCTTGGGACCTAGCTTTAACCTATTTACCAATTAATTGATGTATCCGATCATTGTTGCTTAGTAGTTCATTAACACCATAACATTTGGTTATAGCATAACCTTTGATCATGATCATGATGTGGGATTTGGATGTCTAATGCACACCATTCTCACTCGAAAGTAGATATCTTGCAATTAATGATTGGAAAGTAAAGCACACAGTCCCTGCATAGTAACTACCGATGGAGTCAGAATGCACATCTTTGCTTTGGTAAGCCTGTAAAAATTGTGGTGAGAAACTTCCTGCCGAACCACTGCCCTCAGCATCATAAGAGCTCTTAAAGCAGAAAAAAGGGAAAGTATATAGATAATAAATTTGTTAACTTGTTATACTAAACATAGTGGAATGTGTAAATATTCGGATCATATTTAGCCAGCATCTCTTCTAAATTTAGGATTCAGCTCTTGATATCTGCTACTGTCTGCAGGAACGATTTGTCAAAAGACGACAGCACTTAGTCGGTCCCAATTCATGTACTTTGAAGGTGAGTATATATAACTCCTCTTTAACTGATCCGAGTGAACTTTTAACTATTACGTTGCTATTAGAAACCACCATGAACCTTGGAATTTGTCAATTAGTCATATAGATGCCTGTGACTCGCGCACGGGGAACACACATACATATATACACTTCATCACATCGTTACTCTTTTCATAAACTAGAGAATAGCCTTGTTTCATCTCTTACATAAAGCTAATGAAATGCAGGCACTGGAGATTTTGACCAAGTGCTATATCCTGGTTCAGGTCCAAATTTATGATTGTTCTCTTCTTATTTCTTGTTTTTTATTTATCAGATTATTATTTTGTAGTGAGAATTTATGTCCTTTCTGGAAAAATTGCAAGCTATTACTTGAATGCTTTCTTTGTTGGTAAAAGTAGGGAAACACGGTTGCTGCCATGGGATCATTTAAAGGTCTTAAACAAGTGAGGAAGGTTGTAGAAGAGTGCATACTGAATAAAATGCATCCAGTATATAATATCAAGGTGAATAGGTGAAAGCATGTTTGGGTGATTTTATTGGGATAGTTTATTACTATTAATCTTTGCAGTGAGGATCTGATGTTTTGGCTCCTTCAACCCAATACCCTTTCCGTGAATATAGATCCTAATGATGAAGCAGCATCTTGCTGAGAATCCAGCACTTGTAAATGAGAATTGGGACAGATTTCTTCCCAAATTTAAGAAGTATGCATCCTTCATTGATGTTCATTTAGTTCCCCATACTATTTTCCAAGTAATGCTATTTGTACATAATGATGTACGTATGGTGTAAATAAATGACATGGAAGAGAGAGAGAGATTATAATAACTGAATTTCTTTTCTTTCCTCTCTTTTCTCCTCTTTTCCATACCATCATTATGTACATCTTTATGTACAAATAGCATTAATCCTATTTTCCATGCTTCATTCATGCAACAAGATCTAACAATTCCTTTGCTTTTGTGTGTCAGGAAAAATGTTAAGCAGAAGAAAGTTACGACTAAAGAGAAGAAACCATACACACCTTTCCCTCCACCACAACCACCTAGTAAGGTAAGCTGAGAATCATTGTTCCACAAGGAACTAATCAGCTTGTTATGACATCTGCATCTTGTCATGCCCACTTCTCTACTGGACAGTGCATTTCCTCCGGAAAAAAAAAATAAATAAGAAAATAAAAAAATTATTGGGAAATTATGATGTAAGAAAGATTAGAATATGACTATCATAATGAGAAATTGTGGTCTCACACATTCTTGGTTATACAGGTGACATGATTTTGGTTATGAGTGCAGCTAGTTAATCCTTTGTATTTGGCAATCAGTTGTTTGATTTCTTAACCTTCTATTTCTTCATAAGCAATTCACATTTTAATTTTCCATTATCTATTTTATCTTATATAGATACGGTTTAATATAATGTATTCTTGAGCTGCTTTATCTGATTGAGTCTGTTCTATGCCACTATAATTTACTCATTGTACCTCGTAAATGTTATCAGGTTGATATGCAACTGGAGAGTGGGGAATATTTCTTAGCTGACAAGAAGAAACAAGCAAAGAAGTGGCAAGAGAAGCAAGATAAACAAGCAGAAAGGACAGCTGAAAACAAAAGGAGACGGGAGGAAGCATTTGTCCCACCTGAGGTTTGGATAGTGGAATATTATATGCAGTACCATGTTCCAGTCTGATGACTTCGGTTTTTTAAGTAAATTTTTGTTGGGTTTGTTGCAGGAACCTGCAAGACAAGATCCAAGAGCTACTGATGACAAGAATGATGTGGCAGCCATAGCCTCATCATTGAAGGTAATCGAGATGATACTAATATTAACTGGATTTCGATTTGTGGATGAATTTTGGGGGTTAAATTCTAATTTGAAGTGTAAATAAGTTATATACCAATTTCAAAGTTCAATTCAAAGACAACGAGCTTTTTTCCTTGGTCTTATTAAGACATGTTAAAGTAAATTGCATTGGTTCACCTGCTTGGCTTGAATCTGGTTCGACAGAAGCTCATTGAGATTGGCTCGATTTTCTACAACCCCAAACTTCGAGCAGTTAGGACTGAAGTTCAATTTGGAATAAATTCTATTTGTGTTGCAAGAGTTTTCAAGGATTTACAACTTTGTAAATATGGAAAGAGTTAATTGAAAATGTTTTATTTCAAAACAAGGCTGACTTATGCCAAAACTGGGTATTGGAACCTGCATGAATTTGCTTGAACAGCCCAAATATTTTCCAACTGTCACGGTGCTTAGAAGTAATGATTTTGGAAAATTTGTGCATTCATTTGATTCAGATTTTTGACATTTGTTTTTCACGCTGCAGAAAAAGGCGAAGGAGCTTCGGATGCAAAGATCTGCTGAGAAGATTGATGCTGAAGCGTATATTGCAGCTTCTGACAAGCCATCAGCTAAAAAGAAATCCAAGAACTCCTAAATTTGACGCTTGGTGTACCATAGTACCAGCATTATATTAATTAGAAAAAAATAAAAAAATTGATGCTAGTAGCAAGTTGTTTTTGGTCAAAATGACGAGTAATGTTGTGCTTTTTTGTGTAAGAACTCCTGAATTCAATGTTTCTCCAAATTTTGGGAGATGATTTAGGTTCAAAGTACGATGCTCTATTGGTAGGATCATCGTAAAAAGACTTACCATTTTGAGAGAGAACAGCTGCTTTCATGATATTGCATCTTGGTTGTCATATTTGATATAGATGGGATCCAGAATCACCACACAAGTCTTCTTCATTTACAGTTGGGGGATGACATCAAGATCTATTCTTCAATATTGATTTGATATCATTTTAACTACAATTTTTGAATTAATTAATATTAAATGTAAACTTAGATTTTTTTCTTATTTTTAAACTACACATTATTCATTGTAACACTATTGGAAAATGCACTCATATTTGATATAGATGGGATCCAGAATCACCACACAAGTCTTCTTCATTTACAGTTGGGGGATGACATCAAGATCTATTCTTTAATATTGATTTGATATCATTTTAACTACAATTTTTGAATTAATTAATATTAAATGTAAACTTAGATTTTTTTCTTATTTTTAAACTACACATTATTCATTGTAACACTATTGGAAAATGCATTTTTCAAAAAAAGTTGGGCCTTTTTGTTATGACTAGTGGGGTGGACGTGCGTTGCACATTAGTTGATTAATTATTGTTAGAAATAAGTGTGTAAATTTTCAAGAAATTCATTTGTAAATATGAAAGACATTTTGAAACCGGTTTAAAAAATAAAAATAAAAAATGAACATTTTGTTTATAACGAATAAAGTTCAACTTTATTATTAGACAATATTTTGTATGAAGATGAAACTTGATGTTTGTGTATCGAAATTATGACTTTGTTTTGTTTGTTAGTTTGGACTTTTCTTGATTTTTTTTTTTACAAAATATTTCATTTGATGATTGATAATTTGAGGTTGAAATTGTTTGATGTTTATTATTTAGATTTGGACATATATTACTAATTTATGAATATAATGATAAATTTTAATGTGCACTTATCATTTGAAAATTTAAGTAATAGAATTAGAATCAAATCAAATCAAATCAAATTAGAATCGAATGGTTCGGTTTGTTTTCATATCTTTTAAAAAAAAATCATTGGTTCATTATGAAAAAATGATTAGGTTATAGTTTGATTCGGTTCACTTGAACCCAGAATTAAATGGAATCCTGTCAATCCCTAATGACAAAATTAAAACACAAAATTCACAAAAATTTAAGTATGCATTCCACTTGATCAAACTCTAAAATTAAGTACGTATTCTATATCTAGTTACAATTTATGAATATAACTTATTTTACACTTAAAATTAATATTCTACAAAATATTAAAGTACTGCAAGGTAATGAGATCAAGTTTAAGTTGATGCAAGTTAAATTTATATATTAAAAAAAATTCAAAGCATGATAAGATAATAATATCAAACTTAATTGAAATTTTAGATGAGCTTTTCAGAATAATGATTCATATAATAATAAAAATTTACATTCGCACCATTTTTATATATTTCCTAAGAAAATCCCTTTTCTACTAAAATTTCCTTTGTTAAGTCAATAAATCAAAATTAACCTAAAATAAAGGCCAAATTAATTTAGCTAAAAATTAAATATTTAGTAAATTTTGATAAAAATAGATAAAATGTGTGCTTAAAAATTGATAAATTTAAAAAAAAAAAGATTAAAAAATAAGGTCAAACATATTTTTATGAGGTTAAATCCATCAATGTTAACTAAATTTTATATTTAGTGTCACTATGATCATTCTATTTGATTTTATTTCATCATGACTATTGAATTTCATATAATGTTTCATCATGACCACCCAACTTCTTTTAATCTTTTTTACTAATTTTAAAAATAGTAAAATGGTAATTTTTGGATTATATATATATATATAATTCCAAAAGTTCTAATTTTTGTAAAATATATCTTTGCATATCTTCTAAGTTTTCTATTCTTTTTCTTAATATTTTTATTTCTGATAATTCTATTATATATATATATATATATATATACACACACGTCTTTGTTAAAATAAATTTTTATTTTATTCTGAAAACCCTTTTTTCTAAAATAACTTTTTTTATTTTGTTTTTCTAAGTAATGTTTTTATTTTAAATAAGTTTTTATTTTATTTTTAAAATGTTTTTTAAATAAGATTTTTTTAAAATGTTGTTTTTTTGAAAATAAGTTTTTATTTTAATTTATTTTATATATAATATGAAGTTACCGTTTACCATTTTAAAATTAGTAAAAATGATGAAAAGAAACTGGGTGATTATGATAAAAAAGTAATATGAATTTGGATGATCATACCGACATTAAGTATAAAGTTGGATGGTCATGATGAAACAAAATCAAATTAAAGAATACGCAAACATAAAATTGGGTGGTGATTGGTGAATTTAACCCTATATTTATACTTAAACCCAATTCAACATCACTCTACCCACTCTAACTTCGCTTTCATTCCCTGGCATCATCCCCCTCCTTTAAGCACATGCACGGATGCACCCTATCATTTCCATTCTTTTTCTGACTTTCTTCTTCTCTCTCTATAAATACGTAGATGTAAAAACGAGGTTAGAGAAGATCCATCAATATTTCGAATATTTTTTTTAACTACAATTTCCAATCTAAAGATCTTGATTCATTCCACCAATGACACAGCACTTTAATCATGTTCTGCACTTTTGTTTTATTCTTTTTAAGTCGAAAAACATATACTCAAATACGTTGAATCATACTGAAAGCAAATATAAATAGAAAACAAAATAAACATTTTATCTTGAAACCAGATAATTACTCAAGAAAGATTTATTTTTTAGCAGTAAAATATACAAAATATAAATAATACATAAAACACTAAACAAGAAAAATTCTAGCGATTTATTCACATTAAAAAAAGTCCAATTCTCGACTTCTTGTAAACAAAATTCCATTTAAACAGAATAAAAAAAATCGAAAATAAAGCACTTACAAAGAGATTTGATCCCATCCAGCAATTACATATATAAGTACAAATATAGAGAGAGAATGAACAAGAGAGAAATGAGGTCACAAACAAGATAACAACTCTATAAACGAAAAATTGAATGTCCTAAATGACTTAAATCTGATCAATCTGATCTTTGAACCAAATCTGAATAAAATGGGTACTATCTATTAAAAAAAAAAAAGTGGCCAAACAAAAGCCACTATTAAAAAATAAAAAAGATAAAAAATTAAAATAAAAAATTAAAAAAAATGTGAGGGGGAGCGCAAACATGGAGCAGCACAGCGAGCAGCAACTCCGTGTGGCAGCGTCACACGGAGCTGCTCAACAGCTCCATGTGACGCACGGAGCTGCGTGAGCTGTTGCTCTGTGCGTTCAGCTGCTGCTCCGTGGTGACCCAAAAATGAATTTTTTTTTTTTTTTTTTTTTTTTTTTTATCATTTTCACTAAATTTGTTCCTTCCATAATCGTGTAAATACTCTTTTGGCCCAACAACACACTAATAACTATAAATACCTTCTTCTTCTTCATCACCACCCAATAATTAAAAAAATCTCCACCATCCTCACATCATTTCTATGTCCTCTCTTTACCTCTCTGCTTTTTTCTAACCTCTAATTGACTAACTTCTGGTTCCAATATTCAAAATTCACAAATTCAAACTCAAAAAAATATTCTTTTTTAAAAAAAAATTAATTCTTTAATTCAACATTAACTCTAATGAATCGACAAACAAAAGAATATATAAGATAAGAAGGCCAAGATTCACAAGTGACCCAAAAAATTTCAAATTTAATACCCCGCCTTTAAATCAAATCAAAGTTCCAAATCCATATATATATATATATAGTTCACCCGTACAGAAAAATGCATAACATTCACATGAAAAGTCAGAAAAATTAGGATTCTATCTTTCATTGACTGCAATGGAGGCAAGACCAGTGAATCCCTCACATGAGAGCACCAAAACATTAAAATTTTTGAAAGACTTGGATATCATTCGGCATGAATTGCAGGTATGGATGCATGTTGATGAGCTACATAAGAAAAAAATGCCGAGATTCAGAAATAACCCACAAAATTTCAAATTCTATACCTTGCCTTTAAATCAAATCAAAGTTCCAAAGCCACTTTTCCATCCATCTATATATATATAACATTCGCATGAAAAGTCGGAAAAATTAGGATTTCTACATGCTATTGGCTGCAATGGAGGCAAGACCAGTGAACCCCTCACACAAGCACCAAAACTGTAAAAGTTTTGAACGACTTGGAGATCATTCGGCCAGAATTGGAGGTATGGGTACGTGCTGATAGATGTTTGGTCAGATTTCAAAGGTATGGGATTATGGACTGAACGATGTTTGATAGTTGCGTGGGAAAAAAAAAGGTATGAGATTGTGGAATGGACAATGTCAAAGCTGATAGTTGCGTAAAATAAAAAAAAGGAAGTGGAAGACTATGCAAAATTGTGCCACGTGTCCAGCAAACCTTTTATCTCTTTTATAAATGTAGGAAAAGATTGAAAGCATCTGCGTTACTTTTGGAACTCGTATGTGAAAGCCGTATGTTTCTTCATTTGCCACACTAGAAGACGCAAGAAGAATGCCTTTGGATGTTCTAAAAAAATCGAATTTTAACCATAGCGCCATGACATCGGGATCAACCCTTACTGCACTTCCAAGAAAGATTTGGCTGCGTTTCTGACCAGTACACTGTGATACCTAAGATGAAACAGAAAAGACACTGCTGGAAAACCTGCGTTTACTTTCAAGATATAATCAAACCAAACCAAACCAAAGATTGATACATCAATTAATTCATGTAGTACCAATTACACTGAACATTGTTCAAGGGTAATCACTAATCAGCACACGATCAATCGAAACAAAACAACGTAAAATATAACAAGAACAAAAATTGTTTCATCAAGTAATACGTTGTAACACCAATTATACTGAGCATTCTTTCAGGCTAATCAGGATATTATCAAACAAAACAAACAAAACATTAAACAGAACAATATTCGGTACCAATAGTCTCAAAACGAAGAGAGTACGGGACACAACAATGAAGAATAGCAACACTGTTGTCCTTGCAACATCTAAAAGCAACACAACAGAATCCGGGAAATAAACTTAAAAAGCTTAACGCTACACCAAAAATATGAAACGTTAAAAGATAAACTAGACTGCTCCCAG